AAAAGGCAGGTTTGCCTTCTCCTGCTGTCTCTCTGACCCTCCTCATGACTATGGGGTATCCTGAGTTCAACCCTGTGTATCATCCAGGGTAATTTCACTGCCTCTCTGCTTTTCCCTGCTAGGAAGAAGTGGCATGAGCAGACTCTGCCCGAACATGCAGATCTGTTGAACACTTTCCTTTCTGTGCCAAAATCCTATTGAAAATGAAGGCTGAAACAGCTTAACCTTTTTCTTCCATTGCCACAAATGTATAATTGGTGCCTCTTGTTGCAAGAGGTACAACTGATAGGATTTTCCTGTAAATCAGACAACAACTAAAGTAAACTCAACTGCTCTCTTGCTTTGCTTTCCTCTTGTAGCCCTACTAACAAAGCTGTGTATAGCCCAAGACCTTTCATGAAAACCTATTTCTGGGTCAAAATTTGCCTAAATCTCGTCAGAGAATCACACAAAATAGGGCTGGAAGAAGTGTACAGAGGTTTTGTCCTTTTCCCTGCTTCAAAACAAGATCAGCTGTGCCTAATCCATAACAGAGGCTGGTTATCCAAATTGTTCTCAAAAGCAAAGTCAAAGCTATGAAAACGAACCTGTTACACTGTGAAACATCACTCTGTACTTGAATCTGCAGCTGTTAGAAGGCAGCTGAGCCCATAAAGATTTGTGTCTTGCAGACGGTATGTGAGGTGCATCTAAATTCTTGCTCAGACTCTTACCAGATGCCCAGTGGCATTAGCACTTGGATGAAGAGCGATGCTTTGGCCCAATAATTGTCAGGGAGACCATCCTTTTAACCAAGGTATCCAGAATACTGCTGGTGGAAGTCACTAGTGCTGTTGTAGTCAAGAAGTGACTTTTTCGTACCCTTGAACCTGATTCTCAGGATGTGCTGAGGATATTCCAGAACTGAGGACCCTTGAAATTACCAGTTTCTTTTGGCTGACTCTGATCTACTGATTAGGAGCCCCCAGACTCCTTACTGAGGCAACGCCTGCTTTTATAATAGCCAAAGAGACCAAGGGTGAGAAATCCATCTGTATAATCTGATGAGCATTAAACCAAGTCAAAAGCCAAGGAACTGAGTTAATCTTCTGTGATTGTCCTCCTCCCTCACACAGAGGTAAGTTAAGGACACAGTTATGTCCTCTCTGAGTCGCAGGATGATGTTGAGGAGGAAGCTGCCTGGAGGAGCATCCCCATACAGAGCTGTGTGAGGGGGAGGAAGAAAAGGACACCTGTGTGCTCTATTTCCTTCCAAGGAGCCTGGAGAAGTGGTACAACCCTCATTTTCTATGGCCATGTACATGAAATGGGTGCAACTCCCCTCAGTTTGCACTCAGCTGGTGGTGATGAGTTGACTTGTATGCTCTGATGGGCAGCGATGCACCACTTGTGGGCTAGGAAGAGGTTTGCTTCAAGGGTTCTTTGCACTGTGTAACAGCAAGGCCTTGGGACAGGGTCTGGTAAACCTCTGTATCTGTGTTTTCTTGACAGATCATTTATCAGAAATGCAGTGGATGTCACTTGGTCTGAGGATGGGGAAGGGAAAGTCTGGTTAGGAAAGTGATTGCTAATAATCATTGGAGAGAAGGATAATCTTCCCTGCTGAAGTGACCTATGTGCTGACTAACGTGGATGTAACCACAGTTACATCCCAACTGGATGTAGTTTGGACACAGAGGTGTCCAAATAACAGCAGAACTACCACACTAAGGAAAAGAGTTGGAGCACCCACCTGCTAATGTAAAGCATTAAAAATGTAAAAAGTTACCTTTTAATTTGGCAGTCAGCACAAATGCCATCCTGTGCCACCCAAACAGTGGCAAGGGACAGAGCCATCCCTTAAAAGTTGTGCAGTGCCAAAGGAAGTGACAGAGCATTGGCTGGAGCAGCCGGCTCGCTGGTTTCATGAGGCTTTAGAGCTGCTTTTAAAATAGTCTCCACAACTGCAGACTGTCTGTGGGCTGCAGAAGTTTACTAAAATGCTGTCCTGCTAATACAGGGAATTGATTTTTTTTTTTTTTTTCCATGCCAACTGTCTCTGCACTGACTGACCTATGCAAGCAACTGAATTGAAATCAAAAATAACAAAAAAAGACCTTGCAGCCTAGTTGTGCTTTTTGATGACTGGTTTGGCCAGGGGATGAGCCCCAAGTCTGTAGGTTTGCTGGGTCTCGCTCTAGGAAACATTACAGCTCATCTCAAAAGGATGGATTTGAACTCTAGAGAAGCAAGTTGTATTTGAAAGTTTTCCTAATCTTCCTTTTTCTGTTTTTAACGAAAACATTATTTTGAAAAGTTAAAAATAATGGAATGGAATAAAAGGACACTTTCAGTCCAAAAAAATCAGGAATGATCTGGAGTCAGAGCAGCTGCCGCAGCGAGCGAGGAGGAGGGTTCACACGGTGCTGTGAGCTGGCCAAGAGCAGGGGGATTGGGTTGCTCCTTTCTCCGTTTCCTGGTGAAGCATCGTGCCGAGAGGAGCATCTCCCACCCTGCTGTAGTGAGATCTCCTCAACCCTGGTGTAAGACCGAGACTTAATTGGAGCTCTCGGGATGTCTCACGGGAAAAGGATCTTGCCTTTCAGTGGTGCTCACGTTCAGTCTGAAGAACCAGCTGCACATGCACATTAAAGATGCATTTATGCCAGCAACAAATATTTCCAGTGCTGCTGCAATAGCCCAGGTAGCTATTCCTGTCTTTCAGCTGCAGGATCCCGAATTTAGGTGACGGTGCTGCTGAGAGGTTCGGGTTCCTCAGCTGCCTTGGATTGTCGCAGCCAATGAGTTGGAGAGGATCAGCAGCCAGAGGAGCCGCCGAGCTGTCCCAATCCAGCCCCTCCTCCCTTTGCTAATGTTCTTAATTAAAATCCTTTCCGAGTTCCATCGCTGATTATTGCAGCCCCAGCTAGAGAGACGTGTAGGTGCCTTGTTAGAGGCCAGCGAGCAGAGTGCTGGGCACACGCGTGCGAGGAAGACAACGCACGTCCCCAAGAGCTCGTGGTGCTACTGGGTGGAATGAATGAGGACAGAAGGGAAATGTCATTATCTCTGTGGCCCACACGAGGAGCTGGGGCCCCGAGAGGCTGCCTGGCTTGCCCAAGGCCAGAGCGGGGGCCTGGCAGAGGCAGGAGCTGGGGTCTGGGTTTTCTGAGTTACCAATCTGGGGTTTAGTAAATACAAAGTTTTTAAAAATCCTCTCTTGATTGGATTTGGAAAAGTAGGAGGGTATAAGGAAATTGTAGTGAAAACAGGATTACTGCTTTTATGAGCCGTGTTGTATTTAACCTTAGTGTATTTAAAGGGAAAACTTATGTTACTACATAGTTTCAAACTTGACTGAAATGTTCTACATCGCTATAAATTGCTCGCTGTGGGCGGTTCGTTTCCCATCAGTCCTGATGCTGGATATTCAGTTTGTTAAGACACTAAACAAAACGTCTCGGTGATGGTCAGCAGGGGCCTGCAGTTGCGTGATGGATCTTGCTGCAAGGCTTCGGGGGCTGAAATCCTGCAGGGAGCTGCTCAGAAAGCCTGAGCAGGGCCCTGCATTTTCCATACAAGCACTATTATGAAATCAACCAGCTCCGGTGTCCGGAGCCGGGGACCCCTCCGAGCTGAGCCACGGTGGGCTCTGTCCGATGGCCGTGGAACCTGGCGCTCGCAGCTGGCTCCCTGCTTGCTGCCACCAACTCTTCTTCCGTGTGGTCTCTCGTGTCACAATGTCACCAGGGTGGTGGCACTTCCACTCTGTTCTCCTGGTTCTGAGACCTGCTGGGACAGAGGCTTCCTGGAAAGCAGATGCTTTGGCTGCTTGGGCAAGACTGGAAAGACTGTTACTTACCCTTTTCTGCTGCAGATCTGTTTATGTTTGTACACATTTATTTTTATAAAATCCCCCTAAATTAGGTAAGTGTTTAGTTCTCATCATCATCTCATCAGCTGCTCAGCGGGTAGGTTGATAGTTTATATTTAGTCCAGGTATTCAGCAGAGATGATAAGGGATATATCAAGGAGGAAGTTTTTTCCAGGATGTCCTAATGCTCGCTCTTTCTTCCTGTGTTACTGCAGCTTCTGTCTTTGCTCTCTTCTTTGATGATGTTTCTCAAGGCACATGTGTCAGTGAGAATATTTGTGTCGTTTTCTGTATGTATTGGAAATAATTTGCCTCTAGAAAGTGATTGTGGTCTGTTTGCCATGAGTAAGGTAGCTGCAATTCTGATGTGAATTGAAACATCAAATGTTTATAGAAGATGACACAGCAAAGCTGTTTACCATATGGTGTAGGTGACACAGTGATGCTAGACAATTTTTTCCTCTAGAGTATGTCAGGAAGAAACAGAACTAAAATAATGGAATTTATGTGTATTCTGTATTTCAGGCATACCATTAAGAGCCCTCTCTTATCCAGGGCATGGGGTGCAATATAAATATGATATGAATTAGGACTTACGTTGAGCCAATGCTTTGGCACAGCCTTTGGGATCTGGAGATCGCTTCTAGTTAGGATGGTGCTGGTGGCATCTTGTGCTCAGGGCTCATCACGGCACCTCTCCCTGCACCCCTCTCTGCTCCTCTGGATCAGGATCCCAGGACAGTTACTGGATTTTGCAGTATGGAGACTTGAAAGTTAATGTGGAGCTGCATGTTCTGGATTTACTGGTTTGGATTAGCACATCCTTGGGGACCTCTGCATGATATCAGCACTGGATTATGCTACTCCATGTGTTTTCTTTGTGAGAAGATGCACTCTGAGCCAGGAGGCAGCAAGAACCAGTGCTATGAAGCTTACCAGGTCTCTGCAGACCTTCAATTTGGGAATTGTTGACCTGCTGCCTCCTGGGTCTTGTACTGTGCCTGTCAATAAGATAAGAGCTTATTAAAAGAAACGAAATGAAGGGTGAAGAACCTGGTCAGGATGCTCCTACTATTGCTGGTGATGGGACATGCCTGCTTCAAGTAAGTCTGTGTATTTACACATCGTGCTCTTCCTCTCTTATGATCTAGGTTGCATGGTTGGACCCTGGAAATGGGATGCCAGCCCCATTCGGGGAGCATAAAGAAAGAAAGAAAATCTCCTAGCTGGTGTTGCTGCGACAGCGAGTGAGAGCCAGAGGCAGGAAGATGTCGACAGTCACCTCAGCCATCCAGGCTCCTCAGGGCCCCGTGAATCCCCCGCCGCCGGAGGTCACTAACCCAAATAAGCCTGGCCGGAAAACCAACCAACTGCAATATATGCAAAATGTTGTGGTAAAGACCTTGTGGAAGCATCAGTTTGCTTGGCCTTTCTACCAACCGGTTGATGCAATTAAATTGAATTTACCAGTAAGTATCTGTCTTTTCCTGCCCTGTGTTCTGTTCTTGGAAAGCTCTGAGAGATCAGTTTTCCGGTCATTAGATCAGACTGGTCAGGTTGCTTTTTGTGATCTCCATGAATGTGCTCAGCCCCTCTAAATTTGAAGGCAATGTCTTTAAAAACTGGGGATCTCTGGAGGAAAAACCTGCTGCACCCTTAGTGAAGGGAGAAAACAGCACCCAGGCAAGCTGTCCTGGCACAGCTGAAACATAATGCTGCATTTGTGGCTTACCCATGGTGACTTTTACATGCCGCTTGTCCCCTGTCTGTCCAAATTGAGTGAGAACCTTGGTGCCTGCACTCAGGAGCATTTAGCACTGGCTTCAGTGTGATTTGTTGGACTTTCCTGGTTTTTCCAGTGGCTTGGCTGTTGAGGACAGGAGAAGCTGACTAGCAAGGATACTTGGGAGCTGCCAAGCTCCAAATGGAAGCAGGAGCAGCTCCCCAGTTGCATCCCTGTGTCTCCAGTGCTTGGTGCTAGTATCCTGTCTCTAGCAGACCAGATAGTCCAAGCTCCAGCAGGTCATTCATCAGTGACTGTGTTTTTACCAAGCAGCTTTCAGGGATGTGAAGTCTGGAGAGCTCCTGTTACCACAGGTTATGACCTGATTTTATGGACTGGATCAGGAGTCTTTAGAACTGTGTAATGTTGTTGATTGATACTATATAAAGTGTGAGCCAGAAGAGTAAAACACTTAACACCTGTGTAATATTTCACCAGGTCTCTGCTCCTTTGTGTCTTCTTTTTGTGGATTTAGTTTCTTGGTGAGGACTTTTGAAGTGGTTTTAAAGGCAGGTCACCAGAGAACTTAAAGGAGTTGCTGGAAGAATAATTGTTTTTCACACAAGGCCTAAATCAAACCTGCACCCAGTAGCAATCAAACCCAAACCCAGTAACCCCCAGGGTTGCCTTTTCTGCCTTGCGTAGAAATAGCTGCTGTTTCAGGCCACTCCTGTGGCTTGGGCTCAGGGAAGGGCCAGTGGCTGCATGTGGCTTCATGTGGTCACACAGTGCTGCTTTTCTCCCAAATAAGAAAATTAAAGCATATAACCTTGCATGTTTAGAGCATCTCCAGGGTAATCACAGCCTGCAGTACCACGTGGAAGCCTTTGGAGAGTGTTTCAGGGGAGACACCAAAGTGTTTAGTATGTTCTCTACCAGTGCTGGCACTGAAAGTGATGGGTGTTTCAGAGGCAGCCTTCCAAAAGGGCAGGCAGAAATCCCATTTCCTAAATGACAGCTAATCCATAGTTAAACTGAGCACTCTGCTCAAGCTACTGCTGACACTGCTGTCCCTAATTCTGGGCCCGTGAGTATAAATTGTCATGTTATTCTATTTAAAAATTGTGGCACCCTTCCACTTCGTGGTACAAACCACAGCTGCACTCAGAACCCTTGTAGCATTTATAAAAAGCCAATAATGTCCATGCAATCACTTGCCTGTGTGTTTGAGCATGTGTTGATGAGGGTTGGGGAAGGTTTGTGCTTGTTTTCTCATGCTTTGTAGTCAAATTTGTAATAACAGCAGTGAACTAAAAGCTACAACTTAGAAAAGAAATGAAAGCAAAGGTGGTGTTTGCAGTTTGCAAAAAAATCTGGGAAGAAGGAATGTGAAGAAAATGTGGAAGAAGGAATGAGGAGAAAGCTGGGATTAGATGTGAACACAGACTTTCCTGTTAACTTCGTTCTTGTTTCTTCAACAGGATTATCACAAAATAATAAAAAACCCCATGGACATGGGGACGATCAAGAAGCGCCTGGAACATAACTATTATTGGAGTGCCAGTGAATGTATGCAGGATTTCAACACCATGTTTACAAATTGTTACATTTACAACAAGGTAAAGAATCCAGACAAGTTTTGAGCTGGGGCACTGCCTGGGAAAGACCCAACTTCTGCTGTTACAGGGGTTTTGAACGGGCTAACTTTTCGGCACTACACGCCTGCCTTGCAAGGATTTGAAATGCCACTAATTGCAACCACATTACTGGAAAAGTACAAAGCTGTCTTTGTGCTGTGGCTTTCTTCCCCCGCGCTAGTTAAAATGGCAAATGTGCTTTCTAACTAAAGGTAGGTTTCTGTTTTGGGATTATGTGGTGAGTTGCTCAAGATTTTCGTCCTTGTATTTTCAGCTAGGAATTCTTTCAGATTAGCTAAAATTCATGGAACATTTTGCACGTGTTAAGTGATACCTTAATGACAAATTTTACACTGGCTGTCCAGCAGTAACAGTATTTCCTACCTCTCTTAGTAGCAGAGGACAGTTCAGTAAGTGATGTAATTCTATTCCCTGCCAGTGTTTCATACCTATGTGTGCAGCTTGTGATTGCATATTGTTATTAGTTTGGTTGATTTGCTGTTTTTAATGTTCTTAAAAGCCTGTGTTGCTTGTATGATGTTTTCTATGGTGGTTTGTCATCGTTGAACCATACTGGAGAACCAGCTGAAATAAAATACTTAGTTTGAGCCACGGAGAATATGGTTACGCTCTTCTCTTGGACCTGCTGGCATCTGCTCAGTTTGCTGCTGCTTAGGCTGATAGTGTGCTCATTATCAGGGCTGCTGTTGGAAGTCCTCATGGATGCAGTGTACTTGGCGTCAGTAATGTGTACGTGCTGGACCAGGAAGAGCAGTAGGAGGGTAGCAGTAGAAGGAGAAGGAGACCTAGTTTATTTGCAGGGCTTGAATAACCATCATTTATTTGTAGGGCAGCGTCACTGAGGTTTTCAAAGTCTCATCTTGAGCCTCTCTGCATCTGATGTGTGGATGGCATAGACTGGCTTGTCTTCTTGTCCCTGCAGCCCACAGATGACATCGTCCTCATGGCCCAAGCCCTGGAGAAGATATTCCTGCAGAAGGTTGCCCAGATGCCTCAGGAAGAAGTCGAATTATTACCCCCAGTTCCTAAAGGCAAAGGCCGCAAGCCGTCGGCGGGCACGCAGAGTGCAGGTATCAACCTTGTTCAGTGACAGCCAATGTTACGAGTCTGTTGTTGAGGCCCGACCCACCGTCCAAGCTACCTGAGTGTGTAAAGGGTGAGGAGGTAGTAAAGGAGCACGTGCACAGATGATTAGAGCAGCAGAAGAGAATACGAGACTTCTAGGTCCTGATCCCCCACTGTTTCAGGGCTGGTTTGTCTTAAGGCCCCGCATACATCATACAAACATCTCCCCATCCATGGTGTACCCATCCCCATGCCCCTCGTGCTGCTATTGCTTCCCCTATGCAAAGAGGAAGCCAAGGCAGAGAGACACAAGGTAGTCAGACACCCCAGGCTGTTACAAGAGACACTGTGGCCCAGAAAGCTGCTTTGGCTCCGGGTTTATACCCAGAGTGATGTGTGACTGCCAAAAAGGAATTATTATGCTGTTGCAAAAGGCTGTGTAGAGGATTGCGTATCAGTTGAAACTAAGTTTAGTTCAGCTTACCTTGAGCTGATTTCAAATGGGCTTAAGAGGGAAACATCCTTAAGCAGGGCAAAACAATTCATAAAGGAGCTTGTGTGGGCTGAGTAAATTGTTGCGAGCATTTTCTGTAAACAAGATCTAATTGTTGCTCTGGGAAAGTCAACTGTTCCCTTTCACTTTCCTGACTCCCAGGTGCCAAATATAATTGCAGTTTCATCTAAGCCTAGAAATTTGTGGTGTTGTCTTTTCAGCATCCTAAAAGCTGCTGTAAAAATATAGGAAGGTGTTGCTAGTTTGGTCATTAATTACTAGACTTGGCATTCCCTCCACTTCTGGACTAGTAAGCAGTTCTTTGACAGTGCAGGTGTATTGTACGAGAACCTTGCCTGGGTATCAGGAGACATGGGTTGTACTCCCAGCTCTGCTGTTTGCTCTGCATTAACTCGCAGTGAATCTGAAGTGCTTTGAACTCGTGGGGATCTAGCTGGAATAGAGGAGTGGTTGCTACCGATGGCCATTCCTAGTGAAAGATTGAAGTCTATTCAAAACAGAACTTGTCCAAAAGAATCATTTTCTATTCCCTCATTTTCCTCTGCTTGAGATGCTGTTCTGAGAGCAGGGTACTTTGAGAGCAGACAGAAGGGTGAAAACTGTCCCAGAACAACACCATTCATGTGCAAAATGTGGAGTATTTTGCTTGTGTGCAGCTAGTTTAAAGCTCACAGTAGGCAGACCTAGGCCAGTGATCACTCAGCTTTTTTGGCCCCTGGGTAACAGCACCAAGGCAGTCATTCAGTGTCCTCCTTGCCCTTCCAGTGGCCCTAAACTGGGGTCTTTGGCCAAGCCCATGGTCGCACAGCCCGAGGGCAGCAGCGTCAACTTGTCCCCAGTGTCTCGTGGGCTCCTGTAACCATCGCTACATCGCAGCGCGTTCTCGCTTTGTCGTTTGAAAGGAACCCAGCAAGCAGTGGCCGTGTCTTCCGTCTCCCCGCCGGCCCCGTTCCAGAGCGTCCCTCCAGCCGTGTCTCAGACGCCCGTCATTGCTGCCACCCCTGTGCCAACCATCACTGCTAATGTCCCGCCTGTCACTGCCCCTCCTGCCGCTGCTCCCCCTCCGCCTGCTGCTCCGATCATGCCGGTGGTTCCTCCTACGCCACCGGTAGTCAAGGTAAACAGAACTCGACCTCTTCCTCTTGGGAAGGCAGATAAGCAGTGCTCATTTTCACCCCCTTGGTGCTGGCTACATGCATTATTTTTCTTTGCGTTTGGCTCCTTGCCTCTCTGACCGTTGTTGCTCTGAGATGTGCTCGGGTAGGAGCTTCCCAGTAAGTTGGAGTGGGTTGAGAAAAAGGTTTTGCTTCATCCCAGCTGAGGGGTTGTCACCTTTCTCAATTAAAAACTCTCATCTGACCATAGACATAGCCAGTGCTGATATCCCATGAACCAGAGCTCTCAGAGCATGTAACCCAAAATATCTGTCCTAACTGGGATTTTTGCTGGGATTTTACCTGGGTCTGTTCCCTTAAGATTTGCAGACTCCAGCACTAGCCATAAAGCAGTTCAGGACAAGCCTGTCACTCCAGTTGGAGGAGATTGATGTTGCCTCCAGGTTTTGGGTGCATTAGTTCTGTCTTACTGACTAATCAGGGAGTCGTCACTGGTGTTTCACTATTTACTAGGTTCATTTATGGTAAATGAAAACATTGCTCTAAATAATTGGAATTTTCCTAGTAAATTGCATATTGCTTTAAAATGATGAAAACAATTTAGAGAAAGTGGGAGGTGTTTTTTGAGCTGGGAAATTGAGTTGGAAGCTGCAGCAATATTGGTGTTCACTAACATGGGCTACCAGAATCACTAGATTTATTGTCTTGCCTAGTTAAACCCACAGTTTGGGAATTACTAGGGAAATTGGAAGTCAGGTCTCCTTGCAGCTGAACTCAGTCCTCTTCAGAAGCCTGTCTTATTCATACTGCACTTTCTGTCCAAGTAACTTGTTTCTGAGAATTCAGTTTAATTTTCAAACTCATGGCTGAGCCTAAAAGGGAGTTTGCCAAATACACGCTGCAAAATAAATCCCGCTTGCAATTTCTTCAAGATTCCCTTTGGATTTCCTGAGGGAAAACTTCTTCCTTACCATCCAGGGGAGTAAATCCTTCCTAGGAGCACAAGAGAGAGCTGGCTTCACAGTCACAGATTAAATTGGACAGAGATGCTCAACTTGCTTGAGGCAAAATCATTGCATTCCTGTTCTTGTCTGTAATAATCTGCCTTTGTATGGCCTGTAAATACAAAGAATTGAGGGCTCTGGGGTCTTTGGTGATTAATATTCTTTGGTTCAGAACTTACAGCCTGATCCTGCCACTGGGGACTCAGACTTGTGCTTAAGTCACTACCACTTACAAGTCACCATGTGTTAGCTGAGCTGCAGTAATGACCTGGGCGCCCTCCTTTCCCTTGGCAAACACGAGCTGAGAGTCCTTAGCTTGGATCTCGGGGAGATGCAGAGAACTAACACGTTTTGCATCGTGTCTGGCCCTGGGTTGGAGACGCACAGACGGCCATCGCTGTGGCTCAGGTGACATGTGGTGATATATCACGTCGCAGTCACTAAATTGGGTTTTGAAGCTTCTAGTCGCGAGTTCCATTTATCCCAGTGAAGTAATTCTATTTTCTGTCGGAGGACAGGCAGATCCCAGAAATAAGGATGAATTGTGCTAGGTTTCTGCTGGCAGAGCGCGAGCACCGGCTGCCCACTCACGAGCTCCATCTGTTTGGTGTTTCAGAAGAAGGGAGTGAAGCGGAAAGCGGACACCACCACCCCCACCACCTCGGCCATCACCGCCAGCCGCAGCGAGTCACCCACTCCCCTCTCGGACCCCAAACAGGCCAAAATCATCGCGCGCCGCGAGAGCGGCGGCCGGCCCATCAAGCCACCAAAGAAAGACCTTGAAGACGGAGAGGTCCCCCAGCACGCCGGGAAGAAGGGCAAACTCTCCGAGCACCTCAAGTACTGTGACAGCATCCTCAAGGAGATGCTCTCCAAGAAGCACGCGGCCTACGCGTGGCCCTTTTACAAGCCCGTGGACGCAGAGGCCTTGGAACTACATGACTATCATGACATTATCAAACACCCCATGGATCTCAGTACTGTGAAAGTACGTCCGCATTTACCACCTCTTTTGCAGGGTGTCGTGGCCCTCTGATTTCAGAGGACTGGCTCCTTCTGGGAGAGGGAAGCGGGGGGACAAGGGTAGAAACTGGAACCTGTTTGGATATTATTTGGATTTTTTTTATATTTCACTTGTTTGCCCTCTCCTTTTTTCCCTGTGAAGTGGGAAAATCTTTTTTTTTTCTTCCCCGCAATGCAGACTGTACAAAGCCATCCTCTCTTTTTGTGGATAGTCCAGCTGTTTAAGCTCGTGTGCTTGGGACTTCGTTGCGCTCTGAGAAGAGGTGCAGTATTGCATGAGATTCGATTGATAGTGTCCTGTTTCCAGAAGCTGCTGCCTATCTACTTGTTGGCTTGATGTGTGCTCCAGATAGGCTTACACCAAGCGATTCCAACTGGAACCTGATGATCGCCTGGTACTCGGGAGAGGGGAGGAAATAATATGATGCTTGTGCAGTTTGTCTTTAAGAGCTCAGCTAAGTGTGGGTCAGTTTAAGAGGCATTTTTTCCATCATTTGGGAGGTTTCTCTGGCTCCCTCCTAGATATCCATGGAGCAAAGCCTTGGTTTTCCAGTTCCTGTCTTCTGCTTGGCAGCTGGTCATTGGAATCTGTGTTGGTGGAGGAGAGACTTTCTTCCATGCGCAGGGAGCTGAGGCGTTTCCACTGGCTTTCACCCCCCACCAAAAAGTGCTTTGTCCAAAAGCCAGACTTGCTGTGTCCCAGCTGAGTGGTGCCTGGCTTTGCCTAAAATGCCCAGCTGACCACGGGGCAGCTCCATTCCTGGTTCTTTCCAGCTATTTTGGGGCAAATTCCATGCAAGAGTTAGAACATTATGCTCTGCTTCTGCCATGTTCATCAGACATGATGATGCAGGGGCTCTTGCATTTGTAGGAGTAGTTTTCTGTGGTGAGAACATAGTTGTCATGATCTGTGCATTGAGGATTAGATTGGAGTGAGTCTTAATCCCCATTCTGAAGCTGTGACCCCGAGCAGTCTTCCTGCAGCTCTGTGCCTCAATGTGCCTGTCTGTAACATGGGGATAATGACACTTAGGCCACCTCGCAGGGCTGTTGTGAGGAAAGCGCTCTGAAAAGCACTATTTAAGTGCTAAGCGTTATTATCGATTGAGTTCATGCTGTTGTGGGTAAGCTGTGGTGGAGTTGGGTGTCTGTCTTCTCCTGAAATTACACTGTCCTGACTTTTGTTGTTGTTTTACATAAGCCAGTGCAACGTGCGGGGTTGTCTAAGACTTGTAATAGAGCCAAGCTGTGTTAAAAGCCTTCCCTGGCCTCCTGGGAGGAGAGGAGAGGAAGGATGGTGAGTTGAGCTGAAAACAAATGGGTTTTGCTTAAGCAGCACAAAGGGAAATAGATGTGGGGAAACTGTCCTGATGTGGACGCAGCCAGACCAATGTGGGAGTGAGTGCAGTGGCTTTTGGTCTGTATTAATTGCTTCAGGGGCTGTATAAAGGAGAGGAAACCTTCTAGTCGAGAAGAGGGAGACAGAAACAGTGGTAGTAGCAGGAGAAGGAGCTAATTGAATGTGACTTGTATGCCTTTTTATTAATAAGGTGACTTTGTGCCTTGTCAAAATTCATTCACTTGGTTTTGCAGTGAAGTCCCTCCTGTCCACTTAGCTTGGAGGTCTGTCCACATGCTGTGGGGCACAGGCCCATAAGATAATTCAGCTCAGAAGGGACCCCAACAGATTCATATTCCTGCCTTATGCTCTTGCACTGATCTGCTGTTTCCAGAAGTCACTAGCTCCTTTGAGAGGCTCTGCTGAGAGCAAGGCCAGGCCCAGTGTGACCAGTCTGTGAGCAGTACCAGATTGTAAATGGTTTTTTTTTCAGTGTTATTCTGTGTATCAGGACAGAGGTGCAGGACTTAGGTGACATTAGGTACTTACTATAGTGTTATCGTGCTCAGAGTTATGTCTCTACAGGCTGCTTGTAGGCTACATGTCAACATCTTTTCTAAGAGTCTATAAACTGTTTGTAGTTTCAAGGAAGTCTGTTCTCTGGTAACAACTGTGATGGGAAGAGGTGTCTCTTGATCCATGCAATTGCTCTTCCCATTATTGGATTAGAGCTGCAGACAGTTATTGATAGCCCTTTCTCTACTAGTCTTGGGAAAACAAGTCATTAGATGGCCATGTTCCAGATCAACTCGGCTACTGAACTAATTTCAGTGGTGAACCTAGTCCTTCCAGACCTCTTCCCAACTCCTTCACATCTCCTTGACTTCACAGGATGCCTGTGGGTCTCTCGAGATCCCCAGCAACCTGCTAGATCTCCCCCTACCACCATGGGAGTGGAAACCTGACTGCCCAAGCTGATATTTCCATTGATTCTTAAGATCAAGCTCCAGCTGTATTACCACCTACCATAGGATATGCACTTGCACAACAATCTGAAGGAGAAGTTGCATCCTGATAACTGAAGTCCCTCAAGCCGTGTTGTCCATCTGTACCTTCTGCATCCTCTCTTCCTTTCGTCTAAATTGCACTGCTCTGGGATGTTATGGCTGAAAGGAAAGTGAGGAGCAGGAAGTATATACCATCCCTATCAGCAAATGCAAAAACAGCACGGGAATTGCAAAAGCCAAAAGCTGCTCTGATCAAGTTGACATTTTTTCTAACAGAGGAACATGCATGTGAATAATGTATTTTTGAGACGTGGTTTGGAGGCTTCTCTTTGGAAAGTATTCTGCAGAATCCATGTGCAGTGCTGCAATTCCTTGGGCTGCCGCTGCCTTTGCAGGCAGTTAGGACTCTCTACAGTCCTAATTTTCCTCCTCTTAAAAGCATAGGTCTCCAATTGCACTTTTTTCCTGCAGGGGTGGGTGTTATTCTCTTTCTGTAGCAGCATAGGACAGAAAGCTGGAGACAGGTTAGTGGCAGACCCAGCAGAGTCTTTCATATGTAAAGACTCTGGATTTGTCTTTCCACTCGGTAGAGTCTTTCTTAATAAACTTGTTTGAAGTGCTGTTTGGTGCTGTTTTTTTTATGAAGTGTTTCATTATCTTTTGCTCTGGGCCTGAAGGTGATAGCAAGACTTCTCTGGGATGCAGTAGGTAACATTAAGTGCCTGGAGCAGAATCCTGCCACTTGTAAGCAGTGCAGTTCTGCAGTGTGAGGCTCCCAGAGACTTTAGCTTTAATTCCGTGCAGGTGACAACAGCCGTGGTCAAGCGGTACCAATTTCCGTGCCCCAAAGTGCAGGTTGGAGCATCTTTTCCAGCTTTTCCCTCTGGCTTCTGGGTCAGCAGCAGCAATATAGATGTCTCTGCCTCTTATGCAGTGGTGAACAAGCCGTAGTCCTCTCTAAGTGGATTTATAGGAAGTGTTTACTTTTGGAATAAAGTACTACCTCCGGGGATATAAATACACTAGTCAGTTAATTTTCTTGCAGTGAGTTGCTGTGGTTTCGGAGCAGCTGAGCGTGTCTTTTTTTTACAGCAAGGAGACATTCTTTCAGGGAATTTTCAAAGATTTCTTTAATTGCACCTATTCTAGAGGATTTCTGAGATCGTAGAACAGGGGCTTCGTGAAGCAGCTGCTCTTATTGAGGCAGTTTCTGCAAGGTGCAATTAGGGCCCAAGAAATGGGGCCGAGTCCTCCCCAGCTGGTGGAGGTGGTTGGAGTGACTGCAGCAGAGAAAATACTGTGTGGCCCGAGCCCTGGTCAGCACCAGCCTTGTGTCCTGAAACCTGCCTTGAAAAAGGTGCTGGGAATTACGGAACAGGGACTTGGAAAGCCCTAAGGTGAACCTTGAATGACAAATCATTTGGATTCAGCTTCTCTGAGACTTGGAGTGCACCATGGCAGGTTCAGAAATGATGCGTTTGAGGAGAGACTGATGGAACTGAGGGAGTTTAGGAAATACAAGAGAGACAGGTTAGGTCTTCAAACGTGGAAAAAAAATGCTGTAAAGGGGAAGACAACAAGTTTTCCCTGCATCTGCCATGTACAGGACAGGATATACCTTAGAGTAAGAGTCACATTAAATTCTGGGAAACAAACTCCTGAACATTAGTGATTATTAAACAATAGAATTAATTGCTGAAGGACAAAAGAGATTGCTGTGGTAGAAGTTGCATGTGGCAGAGCATGGCCCAGTGGCCTCTCAGCACCTTTTCTAATCCTGCTGTTCATGGCTCTGATTTGCAATTGTAAACGCAACCTCATATTTTAAGCAACTGAGTATCTCAAAGTGAATTTGTAACCTGGAGATATTCTACCTCATCAGTTTAAACTCTCTTCTTTCTTTTGTCAAGCTAATTTTTCTTTACAAGAAAACAACAACAAAAATCAGAGATTAAAATGCTTTGGGGCTAGAATAAAACATACGTTTTGGATGAAGGCGAAGCCTCAGACACTGAAATGTGCTTTGTAGGCTACAATCAGCCAGTGAGCACGCCAAACAAATACATGTGCATCAAAAAAGCCCTTCATGCAGTAAGGTATATTTAAAATAAACCCTTTTGTTTGAACATACTGTTTTGCTTTGGAATTGACCTGAAATGCTTTTCCAACGAGGCTGGCCCTCCTTCAGGCTGGAGGGACACAGGTCTCCTTCCCGTCCTGTCTCTGGGCTCCAGCTCTTTCTCTGAGTTTCTTGCTGAGAAAACGAGATCTCGTGGCAAAAGTTTGACTTTGCACTTTGGCTGCAGCACCACAGGGAACATGGCAAGAATGTTGTCACCCTATGTACAGGTCCCGCTGCAGCTGCCTCATTGGAGGGGAAATTCTGCCTCATTCTGGACTCAAAGCAAGAGAAATGGATGAAAGTGAGACCTTGGAAATAAGGGAAAGAAGCCAGGTGCAAGATTTAGCTGCTGGTATTTGTCCTCGTTGCATTACTGGATAACATTAGGAATGGATTCCTAAAAGATGGATTCTGTATCCATTCTGTCAGCTGGGCCTTGTAAATCGTGAGTGGATGCTGTAGTTTAACAAGTGCCTTGTCTTGCTGTAGGAATCACTAAGTGAAATTCATGCTCTCTATTAGTAGCTCAGAGTAGATGTCATGATCTTTTCTGCCTTTTTGGATCTACAGAAGTGTTTAAAAATGTAGAAATGTACATGTACGGCACTCGTATAATTGTAACTTGCTTGTTTGACTTCTTCTCTTCCCAACCATGTTCCATGTTCACATTAGTTTCTGAACCCTCAAACCCTTGTCCTAGAGTGACTCTCTGGATGTTATTTTAGATTTTTCTAACAGAAGGCTGGCCCCGGCAAGCTTCCTAGTAACACAATAAAAAGATTAGAGTTGAAACTATTGTAATATCAACAGCTCTGGTTATCTTTCTTAGCAAAAATTCTGAATATGATTTTTTTAAGCTGATCTGAGCTCTCTGCATGCCACCATGTAATTGCTACAAATGCCTTTTGCTTATGGCTTTTTTTCCCCTTCCCCTTTGGCTTTTTTGTTTGCAGAAAAAAATGGACAGTCGAGAATACCAGGACGCGCAAGGGTTCGCGGCAGATATTCGGTTAATGTTCTCTAACTGTTACAAGTACAATCCTCCAGACCACGAAGTGGTAGCCATGGCCAGGAAGCTCCAGGTAAAGCTGTTGGCACACGTGTCTTCCAGAATCCGCTTAATTGTGCTGCAAGGGGGACCATTTGGAGAGCTTAGCGTGGAGATGGCCTTGGCACCGGCGAGGGAGAGGCTGTGATTCCTTGGAAAGCAGCCCATTCAGTGTTCTCTGCTGCAGAACCACAGTGCTCACGACCACATGCCATGTTCTGCTCAAAATGTTGTAGTCGTTGTGGTGTGAAGGAACAGGAGAGTGTTCCTGGGTGTGCAGAATCTCCTCTCTGTGCACGCCATGGAGATGGGAGGAACCGTGTGGACTGCAAACAGTGCCAGGCCCACAAAGTTGGTGTCCAGGCTGTGTTGGGATGTTCTGGCATTGAGGCCAGCTCTGCTGTTGGTGTTTGAAGGCCAGATTCGTGCCTGACCTTGTGCAAGAGCTACTCACAAGCACAGGGATTGCTTAGCAGAGGAGAAATGGAAAGTGAAGCAAACCAGAGGAAAGTGTTAGAAATGCCAAAATGTGTTAAGCCTGGGATTCCTTTAGCCCTGCTCCTGTCTCTGGCAGCAGCCAGTGCAGGAAAACTGCAGAATCCCCCTGGGAGGCAGAGATGTGAGAGCCTGTCACCTCCCACAATCTTCCCATGCAAAAATGGATTATCAAGGGGAGATTCTGAAAACTTTGAGTCTAGTCCTAACCCACTGCAAGCCTTTAATCTCTTCAAGAGAGGAGGAACCATCCATGTCTTACCGTGATGATTTCAACCCATGTTCTAGAAGGTTATCGTCAGTATTTATTTGTATAGCACTTTGCATGACAAAGACCCTTACGTGTGCTGTGGTCCCTGACATGTTTTAAAAGCCAGAGTGAAGACTTCATGTCTGAGGCTGCCCTTGTCCATGTTTGTGGGTTTTTCCCCTTTTTTCTAGGACGTCTTCGAGATGAGGTTTGCAAAGATGCCCGATGAGCCCGCCGAGGCGCCGCCTGCACCTCCGCCAGCAGCAGCCGTGGTGAGCAAGAGCACAGAGAGCAGCCACAGCAGTGAGGAGAGCTCCTCCGACTCCGACAGCTCCGACTCCGAAGAGGAGCGGGCGACTCGGCTAGCAGAGCTCCAGGAGCAGGTGAAACAGCCAACTTGTGTGTCTGCGTGCATGTGTTTGGGCAGGAGAAAGAGCTTAGCAGGAAGGAAGGTCTAATTTTGTGTCTGGAGGTGATTTGGTTATTTTTTCCCTTGAAGTCTGATGTGTTTTTTCGTCGTTCTCCACCAGCTCAAAGCTGTCCACGAGCAGCTAGCTGCATTGTCACAAGCGCCAGTGAACAAACCAAAGAAGAAAAAAGAGAAGAAAGAGAAAGAGAAGAAAAAGAAAGACAAAGAGAAGGAAAAAGAGAAGCACAAAGTAAAAGCTGAGGAAGAGAAGAAACCCAAGGTGGCTCAGCCACCAAAACAAACCCAGCAGAAGAAAGCCCCAGCTAAAAAAGCAAACAGCACGACCACGGCTAACAGGTGAGAGCTAGTCTCCTGTTGGTGGGAAGGCCAAGAGCTTTCAGCCCTGTTGTCCTATCCCTCCTATTAACTCACTATCAAAGAGCATTCCCGGGCATCTCCAGGAGTTTTTAAATTGGAGCTGGCAGTGAAGCCATCGTATTTCCACTGTCTCTCTCCAGGAGAGATCAGGCAGGAATTCTGAGATAAGATTTTGCTTTTGCCTGGCTGATGAGGACATGCTGCTTCATTGCTGCTCCCCGCTGCCACCTGGGCTTGTTTCATGCCATAAAGGGCCAAAAATTAATAGGAATGGAACAGCTGATCTCAGGTTTCTGAAGTCCTGGTACTGTTCAAACCATCTGGCTAGAGGTTCAAAGTCAGAAGCCCTGGGATGTTCATTAAAAGGGGACTTGAGAATTCATTGCTTGTATATGCTCCTAAATGTTTCCATGTTTGCCAACCCCCCTAGGCAGCCCAAGAAAGGAGGCAAACAAGCGTCTGCAACCTATGATTCCGACGAGGAGGAGGAGGGTCTGCCCATGACCTATGATGAGAAACGACAACTCAGCTTGGACATCAACCGCCTGCCTGGAGAGAAGCTGGGCAGGGTGGTGCACATCATCCAGTCGCGGGAGCCTTCCCTCAGGGACTCCAACCCCGACGAGATAGAAATAGATTTTGAAACATTGAAGCCCACAACTTTACGAGAACTGGAGAGATACGTGAAATCTTGTTTACAGAAAAAACAGAGGAAACCATTTTGTAAGTTACCTCCTGGGGCACGTGTTCCCCCAGCAGCTCTTGGGCTCAGCTTTGGAGTCCGGGCGTGTGTGTTGGGATTCTTTTATCCAGCTGTTGGGTATGTGATGAGAGGGATTTTTAGAGCTTCTTTTCTCCCAAAGAAAATATTCAGAAACTTTCTATTTTTTCCTTCTTTCTTCCCATGATGTCATCCTGTGGAGACCCGGAGGGACTGCTGTGTTCCTCTGCAAGACCTGTGTGATGTCTTTATTGCTTATCTAGGATCTGGAAAGCACTTGCAGAGGTTTCAGTCTCATTCTGTTAGGTGTTACATGCACACATCTGGAAGGATCAGTTTCTTATCCTGAATAGTTCATCTTCTATTTAGGAAGGAAATAAAAAGCAGGGTTGGAATCCAGAGCACCAAGGGAATAAATGACTTGCACAAAGTCACCTGAGTAACCTGTGAGTTCTGGACGTAAGTGTCTGAGCTATGTGCTGGCTCCAAAACTGCTCTGCCTAGATGGCCTGGATGCACCACACGACCCTCAGTCTGCCAAATCAGAGAGTAAATGTCCATGTGCTGGCACGGATGTGGGCAGACTTCTCTGTGCCTCGTCCACAGCGGGTGAGTTGGTGCAGCCCCTGGAGAACGTAGCTCCAGCTGCCTGACAGTTAAAGTGCCGCTCACCTTAAGTGGTCCTGGCTCTGTCCATCCACTTGTCAGCTGAGAGTGATGCTCTTAAATATAACGTGATAGTTACAGCTCTCGCAGAGCATCTGCTTCTTCACCACCCGACCTGCAGGTAGGCCTGAGGAGCGGTCACACTTTGACCCTTCCTTTCACTTTTGAATAAACTGGTTTGAGTTTCTCGAGTCCTTTCCTTGCTGCTGTAGAGTTCAAGGAAAAGGTTTTTTTTTCCAGAGTTGTTAGGAATGGGAAAGCAGTCTTTTGTTGTGGAAGCACAGCCTGGAATACCGCAGATAACCCGGGATTCGTGTCCTCCTGCTCCTCGGCGCCCGCGGGCCGGCTTGGCTGCACTGCGGAGACTCTGCTGACACCCGACCACAACCCGCCTGCCCTGCTGCCTGTGGAGTGCTCATGTGCAGGCCCACACCCGCTCCAGATTTTTTTAAATCAATATTTAAAGAAATACATAGAAATGTAGGTATTTCCTTGCTGGCTCAGGCAGAATATCAGGCCTTGGTTTTGCTCCTGATATTGGCCCCAACACTTGTTACTCCTCCTTGGAGGGATTTCTTCTGCTCCAAAGCATGAGGATTGCTGATACTTTTTACCATTTTCAGTGCAATTGATATAGCTACATTCCTACCATCTGCTAGCTTTTGTTACTGTTGGTTTCTAACCTGTTTTTATTTTATATTTGAAGCAGCATAACAAAATGCAGTTCAGTTCTTGTATAATATATCTTAAGTTTTAATGGTAGATGCTTACCTCTGACAACCTTTAATGGGACACTTTATTTTACAGGGCAGAAAACCCATGTAACAATTCTGTAATTTCAAATGTGTAGCTATTGACCATATAACTGGCTGGTAAGTAACCTGTAACTACAAGGTTATTACATGGATATTTCTATCTTCTAAAATACTTTGCAGAAGGTCTCTTTTAAAAAGTGCATGTTACAAGATGATGGTGATTGGATGATCTAGACAACTTGGCGTGATGTCCTCTATCTGGGATGTGTAGTTGCTGTGCGGTCACTTGACTTTTACAGTGGCAGTGGTCGCACAGATTTACATGCCCTGTAAAATAGTGATGTCCACTCTTTTTTTCCCCCACAACCATGCAGTTTCAGAAATTATGCGTTCCTCCTCCACAGCTGCGAGTGGAAAAAAGCAAGCAGCAAAGTCTAAAGAAGAGTTAGCTCAGGAAAAGAAGAAAGAACTAGAAAAACGGTTACAGGATGTCAGCGGGCAACTAAACAACAACAAGAAACCTGCAAAGAAAGGTAACGGTTCTGGTTTGACTGCTCTAATGATGCCTGGAGAGGTGTGTGTGGGCAGAAGCAAAGGAATGGTAGATGAAGCTAAACTTCAGACAGAAGACTCTAGCTTGGAAGAAGAAAAAAGGTAGCAGAAGCCAGGAATTTTCTTTGTCATTGTGGCAAAATTACTGTCTTCTGTTAGCCTGGGGTTTGCCCGGTTGCTGCTGGGTGCCCAGAGTCCCCGCGTGAGCTGAGCAGGGGTTTGCGGGGAGCTCGTGTGTGCGGAGGGGACGAGGCCTGGCACAGCCGTGGGGAGAGAAGGTGCCCAAAGGAGCCGGGAAGGGAGCGGGGCCACGGCAAAGCCCCTGGCGCGTGATGCAGAGGGCCGGAGAAGCCAACCCGGAGCCGCTTCCCGATCTCGCGACTAACCGCTCTGCTGCTCTCCTGCCCGCAGAGAAATCCGGCTCGGCCGCCTCCGGAGGGCCCTCCCGGCTCAGCAGCAGCAGCTCCTCCGAGTCGGGGAGCAGCAGCTCCAGCGGCTCCAGCTCGGACAGCAGCGACTCGGAGTGACTTACGGACACTTACGGACAAACCCCCAAACGGACACCAGCCTCCCCAGCGCGCTGCAGCGTTCCCTTCTCGCGTTAATACACCGCTCTTGTTCCACGGTGGTCAGGTTTCCTTTTTGGTTTTTTTCTCTCTTCTCACTCTGATTTCATTTATTTTTTTAATTCAGTGTTATAAAAGATATCTTCCATTTTTTTTTTTGGGGGGGTGCTTTTAATAGGTCAAAGATCTTTGCGTGTGTGTGGCTAGACTTTATGACAAATAGTTCCCAGTGCATAAAGTCTCTAAAATCCGTTTTTACTGAAGTTTATTGGTGGGAAATGGAAGAACTTTGAGCTCTTAGCGAGAGATCACTAGAAAGTCCTATGAGGTTTGTAGTACATTTCCCTCCACCCCTTTCCCCCTCTCCCAAAACGTTCCCTTTTAATAAGCCCACTTGGCTCACACAAGGAGAAAATCTTTTTTTAAAAAGAAATCTCTGTAAAATGGTACTGTATCTGAAAGATGTTAGCTTTTGAACTAGTTGGTGTATTTGTTATTAGCACTAGTATTCTTAATCTTGAAGTCTACAGTGTGATGAAATTGCAGATGCTATCATCTTTTTACATAAAAACAAAAAAGAAAAAAATCTCATGTACTGTGGATTGTTAACATGTATTTTTTTTTTTGCTTGTTTTTTATTTTAGTTTTAATCTTGGTAGGGGCATAAGCACCTGTTCAGGAAGGTATTTAAGCATGAGCTTTACTTTAAGCACGTGAGCAATAAGAGTGGTTGCATTTTTACTTGTTTGTTTATTTCCACATTCAAGAGCTTTTTCTTGGGAAAATGTCGGAAAGAAGGGACACTCGCAGGTTTCCTGGAATTGTTATTTTTAGCAGAAAATAGATAACGTCCAGGAAAAAGACACTCTCTAGGAAACCTTTTATTAATTGAAAACCTATTTTGGCTGAAAATTCTCAGCTGGACCTCCAAGAGCAATCCCTGCAGGGTGACCAGGACAAGTCACTTGCTCATGATTAGGTACCTTCTCCGTGACAAACACCTCAGTCTGAGCTTAAATACAGGAGCGTTTGAGCTTCAGCTGAGGCTGAGCTGGCAGGGGAGTCGGAGAGGGATGTTGGGTTTGTTTTGGTTTATTTTTTCCTTATCTTTATATCAGCAATGAGCTCCTAGTAAGGGAACACTGCTTCTGTGTCACACAGGGTGCAGGTTTCCACACACTGAAATGTTTACCTCATTAATAATAATAAAAAGAAAAAATAAAAAAGGGGGAGAAAAAAAAGTAAGAAAAAAAATTTAAGGCTAGCAATTTTTTATGAGTCCAGCCTGATGTTTTGACCTGCACTGCTGCAACACACTCCGTTTTCACTGTCCCTGATTTCATGTATATATAAGTACTTTATTTATTAAAGCCATTGGTCATTTAAAACTTCTTTTAAAAAGCAAAAGCAAAGCTGCATTATGAAGTGCAGCAGAAATGCAGACTTTTAAAAGTGGTCTGAGATTTAAGAAAAGCAACAAAAAGGCAAATAAAAATCTGAGACATTATTTAAATATATTGGACTTTTTACCTATAGGTGCTACAGTCCAGTCTTTTTGTGTGTCTGGTGCTCTGTCATGTTTTGTATGTTCATTTTTGGTTTTGCTTCTCTCTTTTCTTCATTTCAGCACCCTTTTCTCCTGTTTTGTACAGATTTTGAAGAAGTACAGGTAGATAAAATTGATGCAGCACATTATTTTCTCTGTGATATTTCCACAGGTCTTCTGTCTTTCTCCTTTTTTGATAGAAGTGATGCTTTTTTGTTTTCTAATCCAGTTTTAGGAAAACACCCGTTCTATAACTATATAAAATTTGTAATCTGAGGGGCAGAAATTTATTGTAAATTCTTAACTTTTTAACTTTTTTATCGTAAAGAAAAATGTATACAGAGTTTAACAGAAAGCTATGCCTTTCCCTCTCCCAGCACCAGACCCTAAGGCTGCCCCTGCACCACGTGGCAGCCCTAAAATTCATCCTGCTGAGGTGCCGGAGGCCCTGTGGAGATGCCCGTCCTTCCGAAGGAGTTGTGGGGTGCACCCAGCTTTTATCTTGCATGTGCATGGCCTTGGAGGTCCCGTAAGTCCTGATTTCCATTGCTGGATGAGCCGGGATTAGGATCCCGCGTGCTGGGCTGGGTTCTCTCTGGAATATCCGTGCAGGAGGAGGTGAGGAACCAGCCTGTAGCACTCCAGGCCCTCCTTAGAGCATCTGCAGTCAGCTCCTTGCCTGCTCATTGAGCTTCTCGTAGATATTTAGGCAGTGGGATTGTCAAGAAGCTTATTCTTGCATCAGTCCTTAAACATCCATCTTTCAAAGACGGGAATGTCGGGAGAGGTGTGTGCAGCAGGGGGATTCACGTGTGTCTCGTACGGCTCCTGTGGCTCCGTCCGTGTTAGCCGCACAGTGACAGCTCTACACGATCTGCCCTGGAAGGGTTTTCCTGCCCTCTGCCAAGGGATGAGTGGGAGATGCCCTGCTCGAGCGAGGCACCACCTTGCTGGACATCCCCAGCTCCCTCGGAGATCATGGGGATACCTGGCCCATCAACAGGAGTCCTCTGAGTCCTGGCAGGTAGAGTTTCCCATAGGATTTGGAAATGGATAAGCTTAGGGGATCCTGATGCCTACTGAAATCCATGATTTTCCTTTTCCATTAGCAAGCCCTAATTGGAGGTAACTTTAGTTCTTAGATTTTTTTTTAAATTCTGCCCTTAAAATTCTGCCCTAGACAGACCCTTACTAATATATTTTCAGAATTTACTCTGAGGAATTGTAATATACACCTAATGAGTTCTTAACTACGCTTTTTAATGGGCTTGCATTTTGTTCGTTTCTGCAGTTCCCTGAGACTTGCATTACCACAACTGAGTAGTATTTTAATTAAAATAATTACCAACCAGTTCAATACCATGACAACATGGATAAATAAGCTTCCATTTTTTCCCCAAATGAGATCCTTTCCTGTGTGCATTAATCTGAGGTGTATTTGATAATCTGAGGTATATTTTTGATTTATTGTGGCCGCGCAGGGATTGGAGACCTGGCTCTGCAGCACACCAGGAGCAGGGACCGCGGCTGGGGACAAATGCTCCTCTAGGACACGGATGTGTCCCACTGCCCACGGAGATGGATGGAAAGGTAGAATCCAAGGCTCGTAGCTCAGGCGTGATGGAAAGGGGCCAGTCCCCATCCCAGCTGGGCTGGCTGGAGCATTTGCAAGGAAATAAGTAACAAAACAGGGGTAGGTGAAGAACAACATGGTGCTTATCCCTGGTGCAGCTAGCTGGGACTCGGCTGCCCCCGCAGTGGCAAATTTCAGCCTTTGTTTTCATGGAAGCAAAGTTGTTTTTCCCATTTTAGTAGCAGTTTAGTAGCAGTCAGCCTAGGCCTGACTCTCGTTTCAGGGGGGACAAAAAGGCCGCTCCTCATTTCAAAAGGTGGCTCTTTTTTTTCCTGTTTTCATGTTGTTTGTAGCTTGTGGTCTCACACTGTGTCAGTAGTGCTGCCTCTTGTGTCCTCAGGTGAGAGGGTCTCCAGGAAAGAAGAGATTTTCAGGCAATAGCGAGTAGCAGCTGCCCTTAATGAGTTGGAACCTGAAGAAACAGAACCTTTACTTGAGCTTGTGTGGTGTGACATGGCAGGACAGGTGTCATGAATTAACTTCAGAACTCTATAACTAACACTTGACATTGCATTTTTTTAAACTTGGCAATAAAAAAAATATATATATGATAGAATTTTTCTTAATTGAACAAAGTTTTCACTTTGTTTTCCAAGGGAAATCTCACTGTCCTTGCTATGATTTTTGTATGTAAACACATAGACGGTTTTATTGAAACCGTCTTTGATGAATTCCTGTTTTGTCCAAAAAAAAAAACCCACCCTGGACCTAGTGTCACTCCACCAGCATGACTGCACCTTTGACAGCTTTGCAAATTATTCCAAGTATAAAATCCACCTGTTTCCTGGCATGCCATGGCCTGGAGGCTCAGTGGGACCAGGGCCAGAGGAGCATCCCATGGGCTCAGGGCCCAACTCACCTGCTAGGGAGGCTGCAGAGGGGGACAGTTCTCTGCAACCCAAACGTTGTTGTGCAAAATCATTTCAGTTTTGTGTCCATGGGGTTTTTAGGCTTTCCTGCCAACAGGGTTTGTGACTGTAGGACTGATGCTGCAGAGCTGCTGTTTGTGCAGGTGTGTGGTAGATGCACACACAGACATAGAGGAGCATGTGTGTGCATGTGCATACATATATATATAATATATATATATTTATACACACAAGCACACAGTAGTTACGCAGTGAGGTGTCTCTCCATGTTCTCTGTATGGTAGAACCAGACTGCAGTTACCTAATCTAGTTCTTTCTCTGTTTTGGGGACTCTTTGACCAGTTATTAATTTTTTCCTTGTTTTGAAAGGAATGATGTTTTTTAAAGTTGGGGTTGGAGCTGGGGGCAAGGGATTGGGGCACAACACAGACAAACCACAGCCTTTTTGGTACTGGATTTTAAAATATGTGTTCTCAAACACAGGCAGTTACCATTGGGGCTAACTGTGAGCAAGCGGATGGGGATAAATTCAGGGCAAGGATTCACTACACTAGCATAATTACTTGCTTGTAAAAGAATGAGATGCTTTTTTTAAAAAAAAAAGAAAAAAAGGTATTTGCATATCTTTTTAAACATTGTTTTTAAAAGTAAACAAACCACCAGCTAGGATTTGACACAGGCCACTTAGAACTTATCCCTGATACTGGCATAACCAATCCAGACAGATTTGTTGTTGTATTTTTATTTTTTCCTTTTGTTTTTAATATTTAAAAAAGTTACTTTTCTGTATGATGTGCATGCAAATTTACCGTAATTCTTTTTCTTAAAACTTTTTAGTGCCATTTCTAGTATATTCCTGTAAATGTCAGTTACTGAAAAAAAAAAAAGAGTCAATGTAAGTAGTTTAGCTTGTTTATTGCAAATTGCTGGCCTCAAACACAACAGAATTAAAAAACAAACAAAAAAAAAGTAATCTTTGATGTTACTGGTAATCAAGGACTCTGGTCCTGGGGCATTTGTTTTGTTTTCTTAATAAAAAGACAACTTGTTGTGTGTGTGTTCAGCTGGATGCTGTGCTTTCCCC